TTTGGAAGCTTTCATTTTGGCACTGCTTTTCTCTTTACCGGAATCAATGATGGACGTTTCCCACTATCGGAAATTACGCTTGACACAACAGTATCATTCGATTTGCAATTTCTGGTTGGGATACGGAAGTTTCTTCTGATCGTTTTAAATTAACAGTCCTTGAACCACAGAAATCAATGCTAACAGTCAATTAGCCCATATTACCAAACTGTGCCGGATCCGCGCCACAAACGTTTCTAACGTTAAGTTTAAACTTCTCTACTTTCACTTCAAGGCCATCATGTAGTTTCGGCCGACATTCGAGAATCAATGAATACACAAATTAATTCTTTTCAGAAGTTTTAAAGCTCATGATGGGCAAACTTAAAATTTTCTATTTTGTCCTCTTCTGCTGCCACTTTTGGCCTGAGCAAAATCGTGATTGTTGACACCTCATGTCCTTTCGATCCCACTCGAGAAGTGGTTTTTCGAGCTCTGGCCAAAAGCATCTCCTGTACCGTGCAAGCATCTTAGGACTCTTTCTTCTTTCCTACATTCCCATACACTGGACTCTTCCAATGTTCATTTTCTGGCTGCCTCACGATTCCCTTTTCTTTAGCGAAATTAACGGCTTCCAGCTGCAATAGACTTTCTCCGCACTGTATTTTTTTCTCCATGGGTAACTTACTCAAAAACGACTTTCTATTTTGAAACTAAGCACTTCCAGAATGCACGTGTCAAAGACAAGAAGCAAACGGTGGCTCTTGTTAATTCTTATTTTCATTTGTTTTAGATATAGCCACGGGAAATCATATTATTCCATTATTCATTTGTCCGAAAACTGCCCTTTCTCAGACAAGAAATGGACTACACGCTATCTATATATTTCCATGATCATTGAATACTAAAAGGTGCAGTTTCTAGTAGGTGCGCGTTATCTCTACATTTTAACGAGCATAAAAAAGTAGAAGGTGCACGTTATCGATGGGAAAATACGGTAATTTTTATCTGTCTCAAAATTTAACATTTTATGGTAAAAGTTGAATCAAAAGAAACAGGTAAAAATCTAGGCAGAAAAATTATAATTGAAAGTCAGTATTTCGTCTGATTTCGATTTCGAATGTGTGAATTGATAGTAGCATGAAATTCTGCCATTTTGTAGATATATCATCTTAACGAAATGTACGTATTGATGTAAGTGCCTTATTTGATTGTACCTGTAAATCAGTTTTCTAGCGCGACAGTCATACGAAAGTTCCCGCGCATTTTCTCGTTTGTTTGGGAGATGCGGTCAGGGACTACAAAAGAAACTCATCGATTCCACGGCAGGAGTTCCTCCGAATCATATGAAGTTTCAAAAATCCTTGACTGTAAAGTCGTCTCTGGCACAAAGCTGTACCTCATTCGATGGAAAGGGTTCGATGCGACGGAGGACTCATGGGAACCGGCTTCAAATTTGCAGTGTCCGCTTCTAGTTGCCAAATTCGAGAGGAGGCGCCGAGATCAACATAGCTGTACCAGTGGTATATGCATATTTTGTGTGTTCAGTGCCATGTATCTCTTGCGGAATTTAGTACGAGCGAAAGAACGCCGCAAATCGGCCCATGCGACTGCGCCAAGAAAAGGCACGACAGATTCGTATAAAAATAATAGAATGGCTAAAGATTCTGCTTCGACAATCAGGCAAAGAAGTTCGAGAAGCAATGCGACCGTGAAAGTTGTGTCTGGAGGTGCCGTTAACCATGGGAACCCTAATAATAAGAAAGGCAAGTGCAATTATGGCGCTATAGATTAAGCAAGGCTAATTATTGCTCTTGATGAAGCGTTTATGACTTTAAACGACAAAGGCTGTCTTTGCCGAACAGCAATTCTTGTTGCATGCTGGCATTTATGAGGTGATGCTCGGCGATAATTTATGATTTTACGGTATCTTAATGCATGAACTTGTCAGATAATCCGAACTGTTGTATCTGCGGTTCTTTTGCGAGTTAAGTCGAGGAAACTGCTGTTTTGGTTTGGTTTGTTCTCAGATTCTGTGCGTGATACCGACGAGCGTATATTTGTTTTTGATTTCAATTTACTGGCCATCATGTAGCCGTTAGGCTTTTATTTATCGATGTTTTATTATTTTCGGTTCTGGGTGCAACGGTAGTATCAATCAATATATTATGCATAATAAATAATTAAAATGAGTGCCCATTAAATTTTAACCTTCCGAATCCTCCGTATCATCCGCCCCGTTTCTTCGGAACAGTAATTCAAGAAATATCAACTCACCGGCCGAAGAAACCGGTGATGGTCAAGAATGACCTTGGATGAGTGTCCGAAAGGACTCAGGTAATCTCCTTCCAAGACAGACGTTGGCACAGGATCAGTAACATTGGAGAAATTGTCTGACGCGTCTGCTTTCTCCAGCCGAAAGGATAAGCGATCATCGAAACTGACTGACTGACTGGCTGGCTGACTGACTTCGGATAATTATAACTGTTTAATACTGAACTTTTTCGTTTTATTAAATAGAAAACTAATTTTCCTGAACAATAGAAATCATAGTTTTAGCGTAACTTTCGATAAATTTTTTTTTAAACTTCTATCTGTATCTTTGTCTGAGAGGAAAGATTTTCACTCCATTTTTCTGTCCGGTTTGTATGAACATAATGCTTCCAGATAATCGTTGAAGTCGATCATGACGTGCCTCCGATCTGCTGTTTGGGTCGCATAATTTAATGGATATAATTTTGAAGAGCCAGCAGGAGATGAAGTTGACGGTTTTCTTCAGGGATAAAGGATGTAAGATGAGGCAGCATACCTCGGGGATGATCTGTTGACCTGAACAGTACAAAAGATGGAAGTTAACATTTATTTTATGCCTAAGCTTGGAACTATTGTTTTGTTGTTCACTAGTATTAAGTTAATCAAACGAAGTTTATTATAAAATCTATTATTGGTTGACATCGATTCAAGGAGTCGAACCGGTAGCCTAAGAAATCTTATGATTCCATTAACTTACATTTGCTAATCTGAACCTG